ATGTGCTCAGGTGAGCTAAAATTACAAGTCGCTCGCACTTTCACAGAAAAATCAATCTTTAAACGCATTAGTACATAATTATTATGTAGAAATGTTTTAAGTTAAATATTGACCGGTATAAAACGCAAATATTTTTCTGTGTATGACAAAGATACTTTTTGGACATTTTTTTACTAATTAGTAAATTGGTATTCTTTCCATGGATTTTTAAATGATTTTGCCAGTTTGGTTAAACAGACGAAAATTTTATTTTAGCGTTTCATGATATCTTTATGTCTCCGATTATAAGGACGATACTATGGATATGGACTTTGGTGATGGGAGGTATTTATTTATTTATTAATGTTTGCTTTAATATTATTTATTTCATAATTTATAAAATAATATTTTGATATGTTTTCCCCGTAGTTTCACATATTTAAGTTATTTTTTATACAAAATTCCAAATGATGAATACATAGATCCACTAAAATTATGCTTGATATCCGACTTGTCTAAAAAATATGTTTAAACATTGGTAAAATTATTTTCATTTTTTGCGTTATTTCACGGCACCGAACATAGTTTTTGTCTTTCCAATCAGAACAAATTATATGCCCCTTGGGTATATTTTTTGTAGTATCAAACCATTTCACACACACCAATGAAAAAATACAAGAAAAACAATAATTTGTTTCATTTGGTAAAACAAGTTTCAAAGTGTTGCTAATATTTCTCATTAAAGATTCTTTTTCAACATTTATAAAGAATAATTTAATTTTACCGATGAAATATGGTGCTATATCCGTCAAATATATTTCATATTTGTTAAAAATAAATATGAATCATTAAATATGAAAGTTGGGGGGGGCCGGGGGTAAAGTTTTTTTTCATTAAACCTTCAATATTTATCTTACGGGACTTTCTTTTCGCCATTTTGTTTTGAAAAATTTCTGATAAAATACAAAACACCTTTTTGTTGAATTCTTTGTTTTGAAAACTAATCTAGAATGATAGAAAATGGTTCTAAAATTAAGAAAATTAAATTCCGAACACCAATAATCCTTTAATTCAGTATACAACCGCTGTACAGACGGTTTTTTTTAAAGAGGTTGTTTTACGTTACGTCACAATGTTTATCGCTAAATATCGCGTGCAAATCGGCTCGTGAAAATATGTGGCACTTTATCATGTTTTGTGAAAATATATTCCATATTTCACTCAAACGAAAAAATATCATCTTAGTCCTTATTCTGACAATTATAAAATATAAATTTGGCGCAAGTAAGGGGCATCAATTGAATATTTAAAAATATGTAATTTTTCCATTATAATAATAAACTTTAATTTTAGTGGCGTCCCCAATGTAACAACTTACGACCCTCTATCAGTTTTGGGGTTTGGGGTGTGGCGGGTTTAAAAACTTCTCATAATCAAGGGCGGAATGTTCGCATACATTGACCAGGTATCAGTACATTTCCGGGGGAGTACATTTGTCAAAACAAGATGTTGGGAGGGGTCTGCCAAAGGATAAAGTTACAAGGGGCCTATTCAAACGTTTGGATTTTTCCGCTAACCTTGACGTCCGCACGTTTAGATATACTTGTACAGCTGGTATGTAAAAATATTTTCATCATCATCATCATCATCATCATCATCTACACAAACATCATGTCATCGTCGTCATAATCCAGCGGGGGAAAATAAGATACATGTACATATGATAATAATAATAATAATAATAATAATAATAATAATAATAATAATAATAATAATAATACTGATGATACTGATTATAATACAATATAGTTAAAATGATAATAATCGACATCTAATTATGTATGTCCCCAGTCGTCATGATCGCTATCATCACTATCAATCCATCACTCTTTAATTAATATACTAAGTTGCAAAAGAAAGTGTGCACTTGGTTACAAATATTTTTTATAATTATCAAGGTAAAATATTCATAATTGCAATGTCTGTTTTCAATATTTGCAATTTGCAGAAGTGTAATGACTACACGTTGGTTCATATTTTTGTACATTTAAGCAATATATATTATCTTTGAGATATAAACCTATAAATCATTTATAGTTTCATGTAAAAGTTTAAATTTGTGGTGTGATTCCCTTGATTTTTTTTCTCTTGATATCTTTTTATCAATAAAGTGAAACTGACATGTGTGTAATTACTGTAATATATAATTGATTTTAGCAGAATCTAAGACACACCTTAAAAATCGCTTTTAACCATTGCATTTACAAAAGTCTACTGGGCCTTTCTCACTCATTCTCACTTAAGTATGACATTTCATAAATTCTAGAACTGAAAAATGAACTTTCTTGTATATTAAAATTTTATTCCATTCCAAAATTATAAGTATCTCGACATCTTAAATATAAAATATTACCAGTACAGATGTCCTAGATTTTTCCCTATGACAGGTTTTCTAGATAGAACCAGAAAATAAATTTCGTCATTTTGCGAGACACTGGTCCTTAAATTTGTGCATGTGGTATGGCGATTTTATTTTGTCTCTTTAAATAAATTTTCTATCATCTATTTATATGAACATCTGGAAATGAGAATCAATCATTGAACTGACAAAAAATACATCTTTTTAAAAACAACTCATTGAAATGCATTTTATATCGAATATGCTTAAATCTCATTTTAGAAATGAATAACCTTACAAAATCCACAGATCCATACTATGGACGAGTAAGAAAATGTGAAAATTACTGACGAATTCTTGGAAGTACCTACTTATTTATTATTCAGTTGTCAATGTGAAATAATTTACGTCATCTCATATATTGACAATTTATTAATGACTCGTAAATGATTTTTCAATTGTCCCGTAAGTGACCCAGTCTCCAGATGCTATGGATTGACTGAAAGAACTGTAAATACTTTGAATTATATATTTATAATGATTGAAGATTAACTTATATTTATTTATGAAATGAAGCAGATATTCCTTTGGCAAGGTTAGGCTTTATTATCAATATTTAAACAATTGAACTGAAAATAGTAAAAAAATGAGTAAAAGATCGTATAAATGGTCTTAGAAGTTCAACAAAATTGTTAGATTTGCATAAAATCCAAGTAAGTGTAAACGAAAACAATAGTACGAATGAAAACAAACATTTTTTTCGCATAGAAATATCACTTTAATTGAGAAAATCACTATTTTATAATTTTCTATCGCTCTGGTCATTTACGGGACAAGGCAATCTTATTACTTTTATCTTATAATTGAACTGCAAAACAATGTACAGTATGTTTGTTTAAACAAATATTAAGTATCTAGATAAACTAAAATATTTTATATCAAGATGCATGGAAAGTCATTGTCCATTTAAATGAAACATCTATGAAAATGTTATAAAGTTTTCAGAATGTGTTTAATTAAGTACAAATACTAGTTAGTTCTCACTATATCTGCTGACATTGAAGACATGGAATGTCGTACTTAAGTGAGAATGAGTGTCTACCATTTTCGACTTTGTTGTTAACTCAAAGGGATTTTGTTTACTCTTTTGTTTTACAGATTGTCCAGTTTTCTCATTAAATGAAGAAGCAAAGAAAATTAGTAATCCGCCCACCAGCACTCATGATGTTTCAAAGTCGGATTGTGTGGCACTGTGTCTAGATACCGAGTACTGTTATATGTTGGACTACGACGATAATGATAATAATAATGATGATGAAGATAATGAAGCATGTAAAATGCATGCAGATTGTGGACCTTCTCATTCCTGCTCAAAATCGTTTAGTTTCTCGTACATGCATTACAGAACGTTTACAAGATCTTGTCTTGCAAGTAAGTTGTGCATTGTTTTTCTGTAACTTTAGTTGAAAACATATGCCATTTTTCGCTTATCGTTAAAAATTGTCATATTTCTATTTTATAGTTTTCATTCTGGTATATGCCTATTTGTAACCTAAGCATACGTATTTGATATTGAAAGTTGACGTTAGACATTTTTTTCTTTCAATTCAGATTGCAGTATCCCACAGGCGCCAGCAAATGGTCAGATTTCTTTCATTGACTTGATCACCGGGTCAGAGGCAAGTTCCGAATGTAACGAAGGATTTGTTGAGGTCACAGGCTCAAATACCCAGACATGTCAAGCCGACGGGACCTGGTCATTACCTCAGCCAGTTTGTCAATCAATCGGTATGTTGGTAAATCAAGCCATTTTTCTGCCTTTAGAACTAAGTAATAAATAGAGTATTTTTGAATAAGTGTAAGTTAAATTCTGTATTCATTATTCAACGAGTTCAATAAATAAAGTATTAAACCTACACTCATTCAATATCATCTATTTATTACCCCCCCCCCCACTTGTATATGTTTTACATAATATTTTACATAAAGGTAGATTAACATTACACATATAACAACGAGGTGTTAAGTTTGAATATGCCCAGACGAAATTCACTTTTTTAGCAGCGACAAAAATGTTTTGTAAAAATATTAAAAAAAGACATTTTTCCCAAATATAGCAGCAACGACGTCACCACCACCACCACAAACGACGACAACAATAACGACAACAACAACAGAGCAAAAAACAACACAACCACAAACGACGACGACAGCAATAACGACAACAGCGACGACGACATCACCACCACCACAAACAACGGCGACAACAATAACGACAACAACAACAACAGCAGCGACGACGACAACACCACCACCACAAACGACGACGACGACGACGACAGCAATAACGACAACAGGGACGACAACACCACCACCACAAACAAAGACGACAACAATGGCGACAACAACAACAACAACAGCGAAGACAACACCACCACCACAAACAACGACGACAGCAATAACGACAACAACGCCATCATCGACGACTACAACGATGTCAACAACGCAAACAACAAAACAAACAACTACAGCAGCTTTAACAACGATTACTTCTACAAATAATCCACAAATACAATCCTCGGTGGCGTCAACAACAATGTCGTCTGCTGTCAAAATATACATAATGCCGTGTATTTGTTATGCGAACAAAACTTTTACCGGAAAGACAACTGAAGAAATTATTGAAATGTTGATAAAAGAGACGGAAATTGACACTAAAAGTACAGCATCAGCTAAAAATAAGTTGATAAGCAAGATAGATAATAGACCAACATCAAAAGCAATTGGTTCTATTGGACTATGTATTATCTTACTTCTAACAGGATGTATGGTTTTGTCAGACGCTGTAATAGCTTTTTTTAAAATAAAGGAAATGATTGGCGCTAAACTTAAAGAAAAATACAGAAAAACATATGTGAAAAAGTATGGTGAGAGCAGTATAGAAGGGACGTCTCCAAAGTGGTTGTAGAGCGTGTTCATGTGAATGTATGATATAGTCAAAACTATGTTTTAGGTCATTGTTATTATTATAATTGATTCATTTTTTTCTTTGTAGAAATGTACATGCTTTTAAAAGTTAGGTTAAATGCTCATAACAAAATGGATCCCAACAGTACTTTAAATATCCTTTTTATGTAATTAAAATTTTTATGCAAGAATAAATATTCACAATAGCCAAGGCTTTTGCAGAAGTTGTGGGTCTATCGCGGTGGATAAATGTGGCTTCCAGTTTATTGTTCGCTGTCACAAGTAAGATTCACTGGACACACCTAGTGAGTCTGGAGCCCAATAAATTTGTATACTTTTCCGGCACCTTACAAGTACACAATATTATCTTTGTCTTTTATGTAAACACTTCTGTATACAGTTTGACGAGTGAACGCCTATTTTGAAAACCGGAACAATTTTATACAAACCGACCCCTGATACCACCGGTATCGGATCGTTATTATGATAATTTCACAAACCAACCATGTTTTATTATTTCGGGTACTGTTATTGCATGTTTATATAATAAGAGAAAATGCTGATTACAACAGTGGTAAGAATGCAACGTAAAGTAGTGCATGGATACGTACGTTTCCAAGAGCGTTCAAAGCTTAGGCCAGTGTGATATTGGTTATCTTTAATTTTATTCCATTGTTGGTTTTCATGCAATATTAAACAGCTTTTACCACCTGTTTAATAAATTCATATATTCACTGATATCATAACAATTAAAAATAAAATCACAATCACTCGATCTCTTTTTTATAACTTTTTGGTTTGTATAATTCTGTTTATAAAGAGGAGTATATTTCTGATTCATTTACAAGAAGGTATATTTCTTTTGTAAGCAATGAAAAAATCTCTTCTACACAATGTTGTGAGGTTGTGTCTTTAGAACTATACAGTTCTTGTTTAAAAGTGACGTTTTTAGTTTGAGACAAAACGCTTCACTTTTTAAAATAAAATCTTTTTAACACAAGGTAAGTAAAAAAAAATATTTGAAATTGCATATAAAACTTATTTGGGTACTAAAAAAAGAAAACAATCTGTGAAATAGCACAAAGAGGTTGATACATAGGAAGAAGAACAAGAAAGAGAAGAAGAAAAACACCCGTGCAAACTGTGAAATATATAGCATTCTTGTACAAATAGCATTTAAACCTATTCGATACAAAAGAAGAAATTAGCGTGATAAATTGGATGCAAGAGAAATAACTTTTGGCAGGTTTTCAGAACAATTGAATGAGTTAATTAATGTATGTTTATTTTTGTGTTTGTCACATTATTAGGATATTTTTTCCTAAAAATTAACTGAATCTATCGTTTTTCATTGCATTATATTAAAATAAACTTTATTTCACACATTATAAAACCAGTATTTGGGTCACGTTATTTTCAAGTAAAAAACATTATTTGACCGAATCTTATCAATTTAGCCTCGTTTTCATTCCCGAGTTAAAGCAATTCGTGTCAAATGCATATCATACTCCATCTTGTCCCAGCAATCCATGTCGTGAGTTTTGTATTATTTAAAAGTTAAAACTTCAGAAGAAATAGTATGTATAGTAAGTTAAACATGCACTCTAAATTTGAACTCTTGGAGCAAAATATAATACTTTAGCACAAATTTAAAAACCGGAAACACGGTCGTGTGAACTTAATAAACGTTTTCAAATTATGGTAAAAGCATTAAGTTCAAAACGGTGCAAATAAAGATCATTAGTTTTCTGTTCTTTGAATTAACTTCTGAACTTGACGACATGAAGTAAAAAAAATGTGTCAGAAATCAATATACAAAGAACGCAAACCGCATCGATTACAGAGATTTAATTAAAAAACTTATTAATGATCGGGTATTGCACAGCGTCAGATTACTTAGCGCTCATCAGAACAACAAGTAGCAGCATTTCCTGATGCTGGGACAATCACAGCAGCCGACAATTTGAGCGAGCGCGCGGTAAAGTGTGGAGAAGAACGCGTGGTGAAGTGTCGAGAAATGATGCTGATGAATTCTTTAATCCATAGACTATGTATTTGGAATATTATCATTCTTCAAGGTATATCCTTCTAATTCCTTCTTAAAAGATATTTTCGTATGTTATTACGTATCCAGGGCTGGCCAAAAGTATTTTATTTGGTACATTTTTGGAAACTCATTCCAAAATCGCCCAGGAAAGAATTGCCTACGATTCAAATATAGATTACTTACGAAAAGGGTTAATTTTAAACTGTCAGAAGACTTATAACGATTTTCTCAGCAACGCTTTACCAGAGTATCCTTAATGACAGCGGTGAATCACGTATCCCACCAGTGCAGGCCAACATCAGCCGGCTCATTCTGATCAGCGTTTGCTGTACAGTGGATTTTTTTGTATTTCATTTCAATATAACTTGAGTATAAACTTACTTTATTGCTTCTAATACATGAAAATAATAGGTTTATAACCAATATTTTCATTGCCCTGACAGAATAACATTATTGTACCTATTTTAACAATCTTATCACAAAAGTGGCAAACCTGTAGAACCACGAGTTCTTACTACATCGGCTAAGAGTTCTTCCCTGCCAGTTATTTCATTTTGTGCACACATGTTTACCTCAGATAATAGTTAAAATCGCTTTAAAGAGCTATTAATACAAAAAATTAATAATATGTCATTTTAGTGACGTCACTCTGTAGCAACTTACAGACATGTTACAACTGTGGTGTGGAGTGTGGTGGCATGGAATTAACTGGTTTGAACCAGTCGGAATGTATAGCGTACTTAGATCACACATCAGTATTTGTGGTGGAGTACCGTCCTTCTGATACCAAGTGTGTGTTGGGCTCATGCAACGGAATCGATTATAAGAATCCATACTATTACGATAACGTCAGAGCATTTAGATACACGTGCACAACAGGTATGTTTTAAATATATTTCTCTATTTTTCAATAAGAAAATAATGTCATTCTTAGTATTTGATTTTCTTGCACTTTTTTGTGATTGCGTACAAAAGAACTTGTTTAGGAACGACATTCGAACATCGTCATTTCGCAATTCCAAATACGGAAAAAATATGTCGTTTATTAGGTAGATATCTATTTAAAATTTAAGTGTTTTTTATTCTTAAAATCGGTTATATTGGATAGTGCAATAAAAAATAATAGTCATATCCAAAATTAATTTTTATGCTTTAAATAAATCATTTGATATGGCGGAAAATTTAGAAATTGATGGATTTTGTAAGCATGAAGTCTATTAGAAAGTGTCATGAATTAATTAATATTTTAAATGAACAAACAAGTTTTACTCTTTCCTCTTAACTGTAGCACAAAAGCGCTGAAAATTGTTTCCTTGAACGGTTTTCAGCGTTATTCATTCATGCTGATGAATGGATGTTGATGTTATCATTAAAATGAGGCGAACGGCTGATGACGTTACTCAAATTTAACGACACTCAAACTTAAATAACCTATAACTTTAACAGAAACGCATTTATGAAGGTATGGTTTGGTATGGAACGCCGTGACTGTCTTATGCTATAAATATTTTTGCTATCTTCTGAAATGATGGTATTATTTTGTCATTTAAGCATATTAACATGTGCAATTTACATCATAACTTGTCTAAAGACAATGCTGACTTGTCCAAACAGCATGTTAACTTGTCAAATAATCATTATGACATGTGCAGGCAACATGGTAACTTGTCAAAGTATCATGATGACTTGTGCAAACGACATGTTAACTTGTCAAAATAACATGATGACTTGTGCAAACGACATGTTAACTTGTCAAAATGTCATGATGACATGTGCAAACAGCATGTTAACTTGTCCAATTATCGTGATGACATGCTCAAAATACCTAAACAAGTTAACATGTGTTTTGCACAAGTCATCACGATTCTTTGACAAGTTCACATGTTGTTTGTACAAGTCATCATGATAATTTGACAAGATAACATGGCATTTGCACAAGTCATCACGATACCTTGACAAGTTAACATGCTGTTTGCACTTGTCATCATAAAATTTTGACAAGTTAACATGTCGCTTTCACAAGTCACCATGATACTTGGACAAGATAGCATGTTGTTTGCACATGTTATCACGATGGTTTGACAAGTTAACATACTGTTTGCACATGTCATCATGAAATTTTGACAAGTTAACATGGCATTTGCACAAGTCATCATTACACTTGGACAAGTTAACATGTCGTTTGCACAAGTCATCATGATACTTGGACAAGTTAACATGCTGTATGCACATGTCATCATGGAATTTTGACATGTTAGCATGGTATTTGCACAAGTTATCATAATACTTTGACAAGTTAACAGTACGTTTTGACATGTCAGCATGATACAAGATAACATGTCATTTGCACAAGTCATCACGATTCTTTGACAAGTTCACATGTTGTCTTCACAAGTCATCATGGTAATTTGACATGTTAACATGCTGTTTGCACAAGTCACCATGATACTTTGACAAGATAACATGCTGTTTGCACATGTCATCACGATAATTCGACAAGTTAACATGTCGTTTGCACAAGTCATCATTATACTTTGACAAGTTAACATGGCGTTTGCACAAGTCATCATGACACTTTGACAAGTTAACATACTGTTTGCACATGTCATCATGAAATTTTGACAAGTTAACATGGCATTTGCACAAGTCATCATTACACTTGGACAAGTTAACATGTCGTTTGCACAAGTCATCATGATACTTGGACAAGTTAACATGCTGTATGCACATGTCATAACGATAATTTGACAAGTTAACATGCTGTTTACACATGTCATCACGGAATTTTGACATGTTAGCATGGTACTTGCACAAGTTATCATAATACTTTGACAAGTTAACAGTACGTTTTGACATGTCAGCATGATACAAGATAACATGTCATTTGCACAAGTCATCACGATTCTTTGACAAGTTCACATGTTGTCTTCACAAGTCATCATGGTAATTTGACATGTTAACATGCTGTTTGCACAAGTCACCATGATACTTTGACAAGATAACATGCTGTTTGCACATGTCATCACGATAATTCGACAAGTTAACATGTCGTTTGCACAAGTCATCATTATACTTTGACAAGTTAACATGGCGTTTGCACAAGTCATCACGATTCTTTGACAAATTAACATACTGTTTGCACATGTCATCACAATAATTCGACATGTTAACATGTCGTTTGCACAAGTCATCATTACATTTTGACAAGTTACCATGTCATTTGCACAAGTCATCATTATACTTGGACAAGTTAACATGTTGTTTGCACAAGTCATCACGATACTTTGACAAGTTAGGATGTTGTCTGCACATGTCATCATAATCATTTGACAAGTTAAAATGTTGTTTGTACAAGTCAGCATGTTCCTTTGACAAGACATGATGTAAATTGCACATGTTAACACGCTCAAAAGACAAAATAATATCATAGTTTCACAAAATAACAAAAACTTTGATTACATAAGACAGTCACGGCGTTCCATAGTTTGGAATATTTAATGACAAAATGTTGACGTTTACAAATCGTTTGATAAAAGGATTATTATTATGAGAAAATATAAGGTTTTGTGACTTAAAAATCAAAGTACAGAAGGCGCTTAATTTGTTTGGGTCTCAGAATGTCAAAAAGGTGAAGGTTGTGACATTGTAAACCAATTTGTTTTTGTTAAGTGCCACCAATGATTTCCAGTGTTTTAACTGTAGTAAATTGGCTTTAAGACTAATTGCAACACTGTAGGTCAATTCAATGTTTATTTGACTTAATTTTTAAAAAAAAATTGAGGTGCCTCAACTGGGATTTGAACTCGAGACCCCTCGATTTATAAGCGAGCGTGCAAACTCCTCGGTCACGGTGAAATTATAAGTTAACGACCTGAAGAAAACCAGATTTTTTCAAAATTAGGGTTTGTAACTCTTATTATTTCGACGCTAAACACAGATGTAAATAATCATGAAGCTTACAGTAAGCATGTATATCTATACAGAATGAAACAATATTAGAAAACATCAACCATTCGGGAACTACTTTGCTTGAAAATTAATGCGCCTGTCATTTGACAATCTTTACGCATTGATCTCTCCTGAATTTTTCGGCGTTAGAACATATAAAGGGAAGTTACCACTTCAAACAAGTGGACTACTTTAGGCATTTGCAATTAACAGCATTAGGCTCTGAAATTTCGCTACCATTATTTGTTTGGTCTGACGACCCAAACAAATAAAAATGGAGAGTGTGGTTATTTCATTCCAAATTGACGTGAAGTAAAAGTTTGTTACTGAGTTTTTAAAGTTGAGTTATAAAAAACTGCATCATTGAACCGATCAAAAGGAAATTGCAACTATTGGCAGTAATGTTAACCTTTTATAAATGAGATGATGTGCAGTGCACAGACTTGTCCATTGGGTGAATATTGACCCCTCACCTCACTTCATTTATGTTGACTTGTATTGGAAACACACTTTAGTTTTATTGTGTGAATCTACAAAGCCTAGAGTTTAGATACTTGGTATGTAATGTTTACCTCAACAAAACTCATTCTTTTGTCATTCCCCTTGGGTCAATCTTTGACCCATCCCGGGGTCACTTAGTTAATGTTTTCTTAAATAGGAAAATATATTTAAATCATAGTTATCAATATATTATGTCAATCTTTCATTATACGATGTGCATCTATTGTTATACGACCGCTGCTTAATATAAAGTGCAAACATCATTATATCGTGTGCTTCTGCCATTTTTCTGATCACAGGCAATCGGTGCGTGGCTAGGATAGTATACATGTACATGACCACGCCCACTTATTTTTTTATAAATATTTTTTTTTCTTTTAATAAAATATTTTTTTATTCAAAATGTTTTTAAAATATCTTATTTTCAATAAATCAACAAAGAAAATTTGTTTTTAAAAAAATCCATCCATATATACTATTAATATAGTAAAGGTAGAAAGGTTCGCCAGCGGACCTACCACCAGGCCTTATGTTACCTCCCAGATCTTTGTTAATTGTCAACCAATTTTCACCAAATAAAGTGCAATCTACGCAGAAATGATTTCTCTTTCGAAAAATGTACAATATTAGAAGAGTTGGTACGACAAAAGATGGAATTTTAAAGCAAAAATGCACTTTTTGTCTAGGTCGGCCATCGCTTGACCGAGCCGAAAGTAGACGATTTTGAACATAAATCGATCTTTTTCTTAATAACAAACTAATGTCAGTGCATGCAAACAGTTGAAATAGAAAAGGCAGCTATAATACTATCGCTTACCGGTCCAAAGTAAATCCAAAACGTCTGCAGGTACGCACTTTCAGTAGTTATTTGCACTAACTTTTTAAATTTCCCGACATTGTACATGTATACAAATTCTGATCCGGATATTCAAGGTACGCATGCTCGGTTCCCGCTGGTACCCAGCTTCGCTCAATTTTTATTATGCGAAAAGCGGTACGCATCAGGTACATCCGGGTCAGCATTTGTATACTTGTAATGTCAGGGAATTTAAGAAGTTAGTGCAAATAACTACCGAAAGTGCGTACCTACATACGTTTTGGATTAACTTTGGACCGGTAAGCGATAGTATTATAGCTGCCCTTTCTGTTTCAACTGTTTGCATGCACTGACATTAGTTTGTTATTAAGAAAAAGATCGATTTATGTTCAAATCGTCTACTTTCGGCTCGGTCAAGCGATGGCCGACCTAGACAAAAAGTGCATTTTCGCTTTAAAATTCCATCTTTTGTCGTACCAACTCTTCTAATATTGTACATTTTTCGAACGAAAAATCATTTCTGCGTAAATTGCACTTTATTTGGTGAAAATTGGTTGACAATTAACAAAGATCTGGGAGGTAACATAAGGCCTGGTGGTAGGTCCGCAGGCGAACCTTTCTACCTTTACTATATTAATAGTATATATGGATGAATTTTTTTAAAAACAAATTTTCTTTGTTGATTTATTGAAAATAAGATATTTTAAAAACATTTTGAATAAAAAAATATTTTATTAATAAGAAAAAAAAAATTTATAAAAAAATAAGTGGGCGTGGTCATGTACATGTATACTATCCTAGCCACGCACCGATTGCCTGTGATTCTGATGGGGTTAAATTTACCGGGTTATATCTCACTATGCAACGTTCGTGGCAACATAGGGAAAATTCAAAGTTAATTGTATCATATATTGTTAAGCTGACTCTATATAAAGACTATTTTACCTAATATAGTGTTGTTTTGTATAGGAATGATTCCACATAATATATTCGTAATTTCACATCATATAATGAAAGACTGACATCATATTAGGACTCATACACATTATATAATGTTAAGTAGACTCTATATAAAGATGGTTTCACATAATATATTCTTTAATGCACATCGTTTAATGAAAGATTGACATCATATAAGGACACATCTACATCATATAATGTTAATTTGACTCTATATAAAGATGGTTTCACATAATATATTCTTTAATGCACATCGTTTAATGAAAGATTGACATCATATAAGGACACATCTACGTCATATAATATTAATTTGACTCTATATAAAGATGGTTTCACATAATATATTCATTAATGCACATCGTATAATGAAAGATTGGCATCATATAAGGACGTGTTCACATCATATAATGTTAAGTTGACTCTATATAAAGATGGTTCCACATAATATATTCGTAATTGCACATCGTATAATGAAAGACTGACATCATACAAGGACACATACACATCATATAATGTTAAGTTGACTCAATATAAAGATGGTTCCACACAATATATTCATAAATACACATCGTATAATGAAAGATTTACATCATATAAGGACACACTTACATCATATATTGTTAAGTTGACTCTATATAAAGACGATTCTACATAATATACTGAAAAATGCACAGTGTATATTGATAGATTGACATAATATAAGGAGACATTGACATCATAATTATTATAACGTTGACTCTTTATATTTATTATTCCACATAATATACACGTATTCATAACTTCTTATCATATAATGACAGACTGACATCATATAAGGACAGACTGGCATAATATATTGTTATATTGACCTTATATAAGGATGATTCCACATAATATATTCAAAAATGCGCATCGTATAATGATATATTTACATCATATAAAGACACATTGACATCATATATTGTTCAGTTGACTACATATAAAGATGGATCCACATAATATATTGGTGAGTGCACGTTAATTGTGACTCAATATATTGCTATTTGTACATAACAACGTTCAGGTTTATACTTATAAGACAGTCATCCAAGGTTATCCGACCATGTATAGTGATATACTATGAGTGATATCGAGACACGCCCGTTTAACTCACAACGAGTGAAAAATGTCCATCGGTTAAAATGTTGTGAGCTTCCGTTCCTCGTTGTGAGCACCCGTCTTGGACGTTTGACACGATAAACAAGGCGAGTTTTCCATATTTTTTGAAGATTACAGACATTTATGTAAAAATATCGGAATGCAGTTAGCTAGCGATGTGTTTTCCGAGTATGCACATGTAAAGATATTGCCTATTGGTCGACAATTTGATGGAAATACCGTGCGACGCAGTCACTCGGGGTAGCTGGAAAACTGGAGACAACTTCTCTCCGGACCAAATTTAACATTGAAAACGTCGATTTTGGTGAAGTTTTGTGCATTCTAACCTTAAACAGATGCCCACAAGTCTTCAGCGTAAATTATTACATGAAAGTCTTCATAGAAACGAAGATATACCCTTATTTGCTTTAATCCTCGTTGTGAGCACCATAACCTCGTTGTGAGCAAGACAAGCGCAGTGCGTGTCTGGTTTTAATATGTTATTCAGATGGTGAAAAAGGGGGCGTCCGTGCCTGAGTGGTTAAGGTCGTTGACTTCAAACCACTTGCCCCTCACCTCTTTGGGTTCGAATCCCGACAGGGACTTTGGATTCTTTCATGTGAGGAAGCTATCGAGCTAGCTTACGGAACGTCGGTGGTTCTACTAAGGTACCCGTTCGTGCCTAAAATAATGCACGGAAGGGCACCTGGGGTCTTCCTCCACCAGTAAAGCTGGAACGTCGCCATATGACCTATACTGTGTCGATGTGACGTAAAACCCAAAACAAACAAAAGATGGTGAAAATATAATTTTCAATCTACCAAAGCAATTAAAACGTTTTTGCACATCAGCATTTCTTTGCAATACGTTGTGTATATCCCGAAGGGAGGCATATTAGTTTTGAACTGTCCGTCTGTCAGTCCGTCAATCCGTCCGAAAACTTTAACATTGGCCATAACTTCCTCATTAGTAAACGGATTTGATTCATATTTAAACACAACATCCCTTAGCACAAGACCTTCCTACGGGCCTGTATTTATTTTCCTTGATCCCTGAATGGCCTTTACCTTGAAGGTCAATTTGTCCAAAACATTTAAGATTGGCCATAATGTCCTTATTAGTAAATCAATTTAATTCATATTTAGGCACAACACTTCTTTGGACAAGGCCTTCCAACTGCAGTAGTAGTACTATTCTATTCAGTGATTGGAAATGGGGTCGTTCAAGGAGAGACCGAAGCGAGGCATCAAGTATGTACTTGCCCTGGTCTGAAAAAGATTAGAACTACTAGAAAAACTGTCAGTGATGCATAAAAATCAAAAGAAAAGTTTTGGTCATGTCTCTTGCAAAAGCATTCTTTTCAGTTAAACACACTGTAAAATTAGCTAACCCAAAATTGTACCAGTGGTGAAACACCTAAGAAGTCAAGAAGATTTCTTAGAATGCCACTATTTCATGATGAAAATGCTATTTAAATGTCAAACACAGATTGTCATGAGCTTTCTAGGAAAGACAGTGCAACTAAAATCATGAAAAATGCTCGTGTACAGAGCAAACAAACGCTGAGAACTATTTGAATCTGTTAATATATGCGACTATCGTTTTTCGCGGAGGATTACTTATTTTGTGTATTGTAACTTTTAACACTTCACTAGTATATTCTTAGCTTAATAGATAATGGTAAACAAAAAAAACTACTTATACCTACAATTTTGCAGATGTTTTGCTGTTTGTGCAAATGGTGGTGAACTAATAAGGGGAGGTAAATTATGTATTTAATTGCATATACTTCGTGTTGCCAGAGTTAACATAGAGGGCAGTCTGTGTGATATAAACATGCATGTATTTATCCTGAGTTTTATTCATGTTAGACTGGCCAAGTTATGTAGACAAAGAAGAACTATTGCAAAGAGAAACTATTGTGCAAAAACGTTTTGATTGCTTTTGGTAGATTGAAAATTGTATTCTCCCCACTTGAATTGTACATATTAAAACCAGACACGCACTGCGCTTGTCTTGCTCACAACGAGGTTATGGTGCTCACAACGAGGATTAAAGCAAAAAAGGGTATATCTTCCTTTCTATGAAGACTTTCATGTAATAATTTACGCTGAAGACTTGTGGGCATCTGTTTTAGGTTAGAATGCACAAAACGTCACCAGAATCGACGTTTTTCAATGTTAAATTTGGTCCGGAGAGAAGTTGTCTCCAGTTTTCCAGCTACCCCAAGTGACTGCGTCGCACGGTATTTCCATCAAATTGTCGACCAACAGGCAATATCTTTACATGTGCATAATCGGAAAACACATCGCTAGCTAACTGCATTCCGATATTTTTTAAATAAATGTCTGTAATCTTTAAAAATTATGAAAAAATCAAATTGTTTATCGTGTCACACGTCCTAGATGGGTGCTCACAACGAGGAACGGAAGTTGCTCACAACATTTTTACCGATGGACATTTTTCACTCGTTGTGAGTTAAACGGGCGTGCGAGAAATCAGTTTAAATATAAAACTGGTTAGCTTAAAATAAACTGTTTTCTTCATATACAGAGTGCCTGGACTTTTCACTTGATGAGGACTCAAATCGTTACATTAGTAACACACCTACTAGCGAGATAAGCACAACTAGAGCTCTGTGTATAGAACTATGTTTTGACATAGAGTATTGCTACATGTGGGAACATGTGGGAACATCCTGCATACTCTATGCCGACTGTGGACTTACTCTTTCTTGCTCAACATCTTTCACTATAGACATTAGTCACAAAACGTTTACAAGAACATGTCTGGAAAGTAAGTTGTTGAATTATGATTATATATTTTGATACTAATAACGATAGCTTATTAATAATCATATGACCCTTCTTTTGTTATTTTTACCTTCTATAAATAAAGATTTTATTATCATTATTATTATCATCATTATTATTATAATTATGACCTTCATTAGCCCTGCAGAGCATAGAAAAATATACATTTAGTAATCGAGCGGTCACTGTCAATCCTCGATCGTCGTATAGTGTCTTAACTGGTATCCTACATAAAGTCAAATGCTCATTCATGCGACCATGTTAGAAGTCGGTCAGTGCGTATTTATCAGGGATAGCCGGTTAAAACAATGAACAAAATGAAATCGAAACAAGCACAATAGAAAGAAATATAAGTTATTACAGAAAGAAAATCGAAGGAATGTAAGATCAAAGAGAATAAGGAAACTATAATTGAGCCGTGTCATGACAAAAGCAACATAATGGGTTTTGCGACCAGCATGGATCCAGTTCAACCATCGCATCCGCGCAGTCTGATAAGGATCCATGCTGTTCCCTTACAAACTCTTTAACAAGTAGTAAAGCTGATAGCGAACAGCATGGATTCTGATCAGACTGCGCGGATGCGCAGGCTGGTCTGGATCCATGCTGGTCGCAAACCCATTATGTTGGTTTTGTCATGACGCGGGTCAATTATATTCTGTGTATATGAGAAAAATGAAAATCAACATGAGTTTGTGGGTAAAGGGGATAAAAAGGATAAGATATGATAAGATAATGCTAATGTGGAAATAAGTGAGGAATTAGAGAGCGGGAATAAGCAAATCTTTTTTACTTTGCGCATCAATCGTTAGAAATAATTATTACAAATATTAAGTCGTTTTCATAATCAGATGTCATATTCACGAAATTGTAGTTACCCGTATGTTAATTAGCTATACCCCCAAACCTATAAAGTTAAACAAAAATCTGTTGCCAAGACTTAGTGTTACCGTACGTATTCTTCCGTAATGATTCAATGAAGGCCATACATGTGTGAAATAATTTTCATTTTCAAAGCCAGTAAAAACATACATTATTTAAAGAGTGAAAATAAATAATAACCATTTTTTTTTCAATATGATAGATTGTGGTGACCCTCAGGTACCTGCAAATGGAAATGCTACATACCTAGACACAACGGTTGAGTCAGTGGCATATTTTTACTGTAATGAAGGGTTTGTCGAGGTTACAGGTTCGAACAACCAGACTTGTCAATCAAACGGCACGTGGTCATTACCCCAGCCATTTTGTGAACTGAACGGTAAGTCTTGATGAATTATTAGCATGACCGTGTAATAAGCCAAAAGTTAAGGTTCGTAGCCATTTGTTAAACAAACTGTTAAAATGACAGAGAAAGGGAAATCACTCGGGTACAGTGAAAAAACCACATAGAAACATGGAAACGACAGACTCTGTTTGATTAAGACTAGGTTGGAACAGCGGATTACTACCTCAACACTAAATGTGTTACAATCAACATTTGGCATTATTGTTTACTTCAAATGTTTGAAGCAACTGTAAATATTACTGAGTGACTTCATAGCGGCCATTTTGTTATTATACTGTAATGAGTGAATGCCGGCCCCCTTGTCATTTTTATGATTGGGTGTTATTTCGCACCAACACAATATATGTCATATGACGCTGGTGGAGGAAGATCTCAGTTACTCAGTGTGAACTTTGTGTTCAGGCACAAACAGGCACCTGAAAAGAACAACCGAACTTCTGTAGGTTAGCTGGATAGCTTTCTCATATGATAGAACCCAAAGACGCTTGTGATACTCGAACCTACAGCGGTGAGAGGTAAGTGTTTTAAGTCAACGACCTTAACCACTTGGCCACGTACGCTTCCAACAACCACCAGCACCCCGTAGTCATTTAGTAATGCAAAATATGCATATTATGACTTAAATTACATGTGCTGTCCTTCAACCATTTTGAATATTCGATAGCCTTCTACTGAAAATGCAGATGTGGACAGATTTTTTATAAAGAAACTCTTTTATTTTAGAAACAACAACAACATCAACCACAACGGTTACTACCACTACTGCACTACCTCCAACAACAACATCATCAGTTACAACAGTAGCTCCTACCACAACTCCAAAACCAACAACCACAACTACTGCTACAACTACTACTGCTACTACTTCTACCACTCCGATTCCGACGACGACGACGATACCTTCAACTGCGGGTACGTCATCAACGTCAACGTCAAACTCCGCCCAGGTTATGACGTCATCAGCTACATCAAGACCAACATATACCATAACTGCTCCAAAAATATACATCATGCCCTGCATATGCTACGAAAATAAAACTTTTACGGGAAAGTCGAATAAAGAAATTATTGAAATACTGATAAAAGAGACTGAGATTAACACGAAAAATACGTCACATGCACTTTATAAACTTAAAAGTAGAGAAGATCACCGACCGACCTCTCAAGTGATAGGATATACCGGTCTGTGCTTTCTGATTATAGCATTCTGCTGTATCATTGGGTCAGACGCTTGCATCATTGTAGCAAAACTGAAGGAAATGAATCAGAGGTCGAATAATTAATTATTAGAAGAATTAAACGTTATCATGTTTTAATTGCAGCATTTTAATTACATAATTATAATATATATAGTAATGCCAATGGTTTATCCCCTGATGCGTCCCGGTTCCGTTGTAGGTATACAAGAGTTGTTTTTTTACTTATTTATATTTTCGATTTATTATTTATTTTTCAATAACAATTTACAGCGTACTTATCATTCGTAAGGATTTAGCTGCTTCAAAGAAAGTGATTCAAAACGACTGTATTCGACTTTTACTGAACTAAATCTGCCCTTTAGTTTCTTTTTACTGCATTTACTCTTATACGATATGAATAATGCATCACTAGCATAAACAACACATTTTGTGAATTAAACAATTATACTAAAAGTTACATTATATTTTTATATGATATTATAATTCAACAAAACAATAAAACTTTAGCATTGTAACTGAGCAAAATTGTAAAAAAACATATATCGCAGTGATTGCACGTTCAAAGACCATAACAACGTTATTCACACTCTATCACAAGATTTGATCGGAAATTTAGTAGTTCTAACTCATAGACTCGTGACATATTAAGATGCTGGCCGACATTTTTAGAAGTCATTCATGACTACACTCATTCAAACCTGCTCTGCGATTTCTTTCATTCATTTTGCTGTCCCCTTGTTCACTACCAAAGAGCAAAACCAATCAAATCACTGTCTGGAGTTTGGTTTTGAAAATGCAAGACGCGACTGTAAAACATTATGCCATTTATGGCTGAAATATTGATGGCATTTGAATGGTTTTCATTGAAACATTTGTGTAAGTTGATATTTCAATGTTAAATATTTTATGAACAAGTAAATTATTGTTACTAGTGTCATGGTATTGTTCACATTCTGGTAGATAGTGAGAAACATATTTTATAGTATGATACCAGTATTAGATAGGTCGGTATACCTGCAAACGTTGGTTAAAATTTGTATTATATAACATTAAATAATTTGGGAGTAATAAATTGATTGCAAAGTCGATAAACAGATCTGTTAAAACTTTATGAAAATAAAGCTTTATATTAAAATATTCTTTTAACAAAATAAACATAAAATCCGCTAAAAGTACTTCTATATTACCCCATGCATACATTTCTAAAACAAAACAAAATGTTCTTTTTCCTCTGCCTTTTTATTTCTCTCCGACATCCAGCGTCGACATTTGACGAAGTCGCTAGTGTATAAGGTCTACTTTAAAAGTATGTTTAACTTTTAAAATATCAATCGAAATTTTAAACTGACGTATATTTGAATAAAAAGAAAAACACATCTGCTTGAACTCTTATATAAACAGAACATTGAATGATTTTTAAGCATTGATCAAAAGTTTGGTTTTCGATTTTAATTTTTTTTTCAACTTCAACTTTTTACAGATTACCTTCAATGACACAAGGATACGTCGAAGCGTCTTGGGTAATTCAACGTAATGCTAACACTTTGGACAATGCCCTAAGCGGTCAATTAATCCGGATATGGTAAATATGATATATCAAAAATGGTATTTATGTTTTGATGTAAAGTTTATACTCTTAGCTTTTCCTAAGTTGCTGTTATTTTAAAACCGTGTAGTATAGATTGCTCCAGTATTTGTGATAATCATATATTTAGAGATGTGACATAAATTACTAAAAATTAACAATAGTTTGTTCTTTTTTTAGCTCACCTGAGCACAAAGTGTATAAAAGGTGAGCTTTTGTGATGGCAGTGTACCTGTTGTCCATCGTTGACCACAATTTCTTTAAACCACTCAATGAACTGTGACCAAACTTTGAACACATGAATGATCCCTAGGTATTATACAAGTTATACAAATGGTGTCAGTCTGATGCACCATCTTGTGGTTCTATACAAAATGTTTTATAAATCATGCCCCTGGGGTTAAACTTCGCCCCAACCTGGGGATCACTTAGTTTATATAGACTTTGAAGCCTTGTTACAGGAAAATACATTTAAGTCTCTTTTTAAGTCTTCAATAGCATAGATATTTGTTATCATGCATTTTGTAGCAGATATTTTCAAATATTTTAAAAATTATGCAGCTTGGATAAAAAATGACAAATCCAATGTGGCCTCATTAATGACTTTGAAAAGTAAAAATTGTGACCATTTCTAGCATTGTATCTCATGTTTAGGTGAGCAATTCAGGACCATCATGGCCCGCTTCTTATTCTTGAATACAATTACCTTTTTTTAATAAAAAGATATGTCACGGTCGCTGACTTCAAACCACTTGCATTTTCCGCTGTTCGTTCGAATCTTGGCAGGATCTTTGGATTCTTTAATGTAAGGAAGCTATCAGCTAGCCTACGGAATGTCGGTGATAATGCTCGGATGTCCGCTTGTTTTTTTTTAATAGCGCACGCACCTGTGGTCTCCTTCCACCAGTAAAGATGGAAAGCCGAAGAAAAACAACAACAACAAAACTTTGAAAATACAAATCCTGCAGTTATAAATTTAGCAGGATAATGATAAAAGTAATTGGAATTTTCTCGACATACTGTGCGTGTAATGAAACAACGTTTCACCAATAGCTCCATGTAGCAAAAAAATGCGTTAGACACAATTAAATAAAATCTTCAGCACAAAGCAATTAGCAGAACTTTTAAAACGAGTTAAATAAGTTATTTTTATAATAAAGTTTCCTTTTAAAAGGAAAGGCTTGCACAGTTGTGCCTTCATCCCAACATATTTACTGTAGTTGTTTTTATTTTTGTAAAAACGAATATTTTTGTCAAAACGATTTGAAATATATTCTCTATTGTATAAAACTAATAAAGAAAATAAAAGGAAACAAGTGTGCACATTTCATTTCCACATCGTTACGTGGTACCAATTAATAAGCATGTTCACAGATACGATGCGCTTATCTATAGATCATCACGTGGTAAGGTTAATGATATGCATTGGCTATTTTTAGATTACCTCACCAAGTTCAGTAGATCTAAATATAACTCGATTATGCACTAATATTCTGTGTGATTTGGACCACCCTTTGAAGACGGAATACTACTACAGTCAACATCCTCTATTGTATTATAAAACTAATACAGACAAAAAACAATTATAAAAGAAATTAACTTTTGCGTCTTGAAAAAGAATTGAAACGGAACAATTTCGTTTATAATTTATTACGGTTTAAATCAATAAATCAAGTAAAAATACGAATCCTATTTATATAAACAAACTGGGATTACCGAAGTAACTAAAATAGCTTAGATTTCCGTAATATTACTTCGTCTGATTCCGCAGTATGACGGAATCGCCCGAATTGTCACGATTGCAATCGGAACTACATCGGCTATTATCATTTATCCGAAGAGTGACGGAAAAGGCCGTAAAGTTGCGATTGGCACGATTGTAGCTGGTTTCCCGTTCAATCATGCACTTACAAATGTAAGCAGAAAACCACCTAACCGGAACAAGTTTTCCATATGAAATGGCTTGCAGCCGTGGCTGCAAGCCAAAAAGTAAAATACAAAAACGTGGGTACGCACGCACAACAATAAGAACTTAGAGTACATAATATAGTGCGCGTGCTATGCCCTTTATTACAATTCCATATTAGTGTTACAATTTTAATTGGTTAACTGGCCACGGTATTTCAAAAGTAAAATATTTGTTCATTTATAAACTGTAAATAAGCCTTACAATATACTCTTTTATCAACAGAAATGATTAAATATTTTTAATGTTATAAATTATTAATTCTAACACTATCGGAAATGTTTCTATATAAACAAGGAAGGCCCGAAGCGTGCATTATTCTACAACAATGCACTCGCCGTTCTTATTATCTCCCTGTGTATTTTCACTTTGAGGGCGCCATTTTGTTTGAAAAATCTGATAAATAAAAACATTTTTTGTCGAATTTTTTTGTGAAAACTATCTAGAATGAAAGAAAATGGTATAACTAAGAAAATTAATCCGAACACCAATATCTTTAATTCAGTCGTTAACGCTGTGCAGACGTTTAAAATGTTGTTTACGTGACGTCACAATGTAGCGCCAAACAGCACGTGCAAAACAATCAAATCAAGAACGCTATTTTAATGTCGCAAACGAGTTAAGTTTTACATTTATTTAACTTTTAATAATTTGTATTTCGTTTGAAAAATTATAGAGTGAAATAAAATAAACAAACAAAGTTTTATCAACGTTTTCAAAATTCGTTATTCTCAAAATGTTTCTACACACGGTAGATTTAACACACGGTAGATTTTTTTTCAACCCACTGGAATAGCCTTTAAAGAACGTTTCTATTGGAAACTCTGAGGCGAAAACAAATTTAACCACCGAACATAAAGTCCAACTTTATTATAATAATAATATTTTTTCTTGACGTGTAAGAATGGAAATAGATATTAATTCTTCGTGCATTATTGTATAATAATGCACGTTTTTCGTTTAAATGCTTTGTAATTAATCACTCAGGCCTATCGGCCTTCGTGATTATATTACTACGCATTTGAACTCAAACCGTGCATTATTCTACAACAATGCACTCAGAATTGATATCTATTTCCTAATTAACAGTTCCCTGCTTATTTGTAATGTAAACTTCTTTACACGGAATAATAACCCATGAAGTGCATGTGTAAACTATTGAACGAATTCAATGTAGAAGCCCATGTAACTATGTCTGTTTACTTTTCTTTGAACATTTATTCTGTAACGAAACTCTTGTGACATAGATATGTAGACATACAAACAAATCGCATGCACTGGCGAGCAATCAAACAGCATTAGTTTTCCTTGAATAGACCTGAAGCTGTGTTCTGACCTTTGATGAACCTTATAGCATTACTTCTACCGAATAATAACGCCATATTCGGAATGATCGAACCTTTTCCTCGCACAAAAGACACTTCATATGCAACCTATTTTTGACCGAGCTGAATAAACTTGGCAGTGGTACACTTTAAAAGGCAACACACAAGATATCAAAGAAGATTTTTTAAAGGGTTTCCTATATCATTGTGTGTTATGTAAAATCAAA